ATGGTTTTCTGGAATGGTTTCTAACTTTTTCTTGTAATTAAAAAAAAAAAATCCTGCCTTTGTTTGTATCTGTGCCAATGTCCCACGTGTGGAGGTGGCTTGTGGAGGCCGGAAGAGGGTGGTGCATCTCCTGAGTGCTAGGATTACAGGCATAAGCCACCTCACTGGGCTTTCACAGCTCTTCTGGTGTCCTGCTGTCATTGCTGGGGCCTCTCTTCTACTGGTCCCCTCCCCTCCCCTCCCCTGGGGTCTTAACTGCTCATCAGACTTGGTGTTCCCTGTTTTCCTTCCCTTAACTTAACACTAAGTAAAAATCAATGTTTTACTCTACCTGCCTTGTGTATTGATGAAAAATCAATTTTTACTTAGTGTCCGGTGTGCGTGCTCACGCGCATGCACATCAGAGGCTCATACATATGGAGGTCAGAGGACAACTTGGAGGAGCTGGTTGTCTCCTTCCATCATGCACATCCAGGAGATCAAAGTTGTCAGGCTTGGTGGCACGTGCCTTTACCCACTGAGCCACCCTGCCAACCCTATTTTTCCCTTTCAGGGCCCCGCTTGTACTAATGAATGTTACACTTACGTGCTCCTAGCATCCCTGGGCCTGGGGCTTCTCTTGCCTCCTGCAGAACAGAGGCAAGTTCCCAAGTACCTCACTTGGACTCTCTCGGAGACGGAGGATCCTGTGAGTCCAGCTGGCTGGGACCAGATAGTCCACAACTCCGCTCCCTTCCATCTCCTGATTCCTCTGGCTCAGAGTCCCCTGTTCTCTCCTAAGTAGATTGGGACCTTGGCCAGAAGGAGTCAGGGCAGTCTGGAGCAAGCTGGAGGTCAAGAGCGCCAACTACTGCCGCTTGCCTGGCCCTGATTTGATTTGGGTCTGGGCAGCTGAGCGGCTGACGACCCAGAGTTTTTCTGGGAATGGCCCAAGGGCTCAAAGGAGTAGCTGGCAGCCATGTCTGAAGGCTGTCTGTGCTGGAAGGCTCCCAGGCAGGCAGACGTCCTGGCTAGGGATTTGATAGTACAGTTATACAGTAGACCCTTCCTCTACCACACCAGGGTGATCTAGGGCCACAGAATGGCCAATACAAAGCTACCAGCAGCCTCTTTTTCAATGTATCCTATCCATGGCCTGTCTTCCATATCCTTGAGTGACTGTTCTGATGTACACTCCCTCTTCCTCCCTCTCTCTCTCTCTCTCTCTCTCTCTCTCTCTCTCTCTCTCTCTCTCTCTTCTACTTTTTCTCCCCTCCCCTCCCCCAGATGAGGTTTCTCTGTGTAACAGCTCTGGCTGTCCTGGAACTCTCATTGTAGACCAGGCTGGAATTGAACTCACAGAGATCCGCCTGCGCCTGCCTCCCAAGTGCTGGGATTAATGGTGTGTACCATTACACCTGGCTATTTTTTATTTTCTTTGCTACTTGTTTTGAGATAGGGTCTCATGTAACCAGGCTGGCTCAGACTCACCATGTAGCCAGTGATGTTTTTGAATTCCCGGTCATCCTGCCTCTATTTTCTGTATGCTTGGAATTATAGGTCTGCACCACCTGGCTTGGTTTATTTATTATTAACTTATATTTGTGGTTCTGGGGATGGAATTCAAGGTCTTGAACTTGCTAGGCAGATGCTCTAATGTGGAAGTATGCTTCCCAGACCCCCACTGGGGGATTCTAGGCAGGTGCTCTACCACTGAGCCACACCCCAGCCCCTTACTGGGGGATTCTAGGCAGGTGCTCTACTACTGAGCCACACCCCAGCCCCTCACTGGGGGATTCTA